ATACAACATTGCCAATATGCATGTCATTATCATTGGTAAAAGTATCTTTTGGACTAAGCAGAAATTGAGACAGATATATGGCAACCTTAGAAATTAAACCCTGATGCCATGTGAAGGACAGCATAACCACTATGCCAGAAGACTGAGCTTCTGGATAGTCAGGTGTACCATATCAGATCATGGCTGTCTCCACAGAGATAGCCTAAAAAAGAAATGGAAGAGTTGGACACACTGGAAGGGACCACAGAAGCAGAAACCTGGATATAGCAACCAATCTGGTGCTATCAACAGGATCTGACAATGGATTGGAAGAAATCATATTTCATACCCTGGGTAACATATGACGTGAAGAGAAGCCTTAGAGTTGTAATCTTGTCTGGTCCTGATGGAATGCATGTATTGTCAAAGCTCAAAGATGAGTGGCTAGAGACAAATTGCCAGAAGTTGGGTGATCTAATGAGAGTTCAACCCACCAATCAGAGTTGCAAAATGAGAGCCAATCCAACAGAATTTTGCAATGCAACATCTATTCTGTTGGGAGAATCTAACTGGACTGAGACAATTGACCTGCTACCACATGTATCACCCATGGAACATGGCAAGCTAGAAGATAGGACTAGCCCCATGAAAGGAAGTCCAAAAGTCAAAAACAAGAAGCCCTAAACCACATGCCTCCTTGATGAGAAACACAAGACACCACCATAGAATAGTCAGAGTGAAGCCTGACGATTTACCCCTTAATAGGCCCAGACCATGAGGCACTGCCTGTGGAAAAGTAAGAAGGATGAAAACATTGTAAATGAAATACTCTTCATCCATGCATAGACTCTGGAATTCCTTACTGTCAGTACATGCACCCCTTCCCTGAAGCAAGGCATTTGTGAAGAGATGTAACTCTGGACGAGGTGGTAGTAGAGGAACCCATATCGAAGTATTGTCCTGACTTAACAACTCCTCAAGATCGAAAAATGATCCAGACTAAGTGAATGAATGTTTATGATCCTTGGTCGCATAAAGACTAATAAAAGGATAATTGTGTTCTTGCCCCAAAAGCATGAGGGATTCAAGTGATGCCCACATTCCCAGAAGTGAAAGAACCATCTGTGCAATGGAAGAAGGAGACATAAGAGTGTGACATCCTATTCTATAGTGTTGAGCTGGTTGGGAGTCAGATGAGCCCAATTGAGAGACAAGATGAAAAATAAAAAATACTGAGACTGATGATATGTTGAATTGGAGCAAGAATAGATGTCTCAGTTCTGAAAGGGAAGCCTGCCTTGGTTGTTTCTGAAAGTAGAATCAGGATGTGATGATCTGATAATTGATGTGATGGTGCCAGCAGTAACCAGTCGTCCAAAGAATGGTGTGTACACAGCACAACAGAATAAATGGGACGAGAAAAAAACTTGTATGATACAGTAGAACCCATGTGAAGCAAAATGGACAAACTCAGAACTATAGTACCTAACCATTGTGCACCACAAACGACAATAGTGGTATACCACCACTATGCCAAAGTGCAGATAGGAGCCAACTATGACCAACTTGGACATCTACAATCCCAGAAAAAAAAATCAACAAAGATTGCAAAATGAGTAACTTATGAACCATGGAAAATCTAGGCAATGATATACACAAGGAAGAGCAATGACTGGATACCAATCTCCTGTCTGCATAGGCCTAACAACAGACAGGAATAAAAACTCTGAAGAATTAGCATGACTCTCTTACTACTCCAGACCAACCAAATGCAAATAACCCTAGAACTAAGTTTCAAATCCCAATGAGCTGCAGGATTTGGAAACCCTACAGGTTGGGTTGATAATGGTAGTGAAGATGCAAACTGAATGATAATCCTGACTCAACGATCTATAGTGCTCATAGATCCATGGTTAAGGTTACCACACGGCCAGAAAGTCTTGGAACCAAGCCACCACAGCCCCTGAAGTTATATAATAATCACTGACACTGCTGACAGCGATTTGACTGAGCAGCAGAACCCTTGGACACTTACAGAATCTATTCTGGATACCAATGTACCAAGGGTCTGATGTTGGGGGTTTGGACCCTCGAATAGGGGAGGAACTATGACTCCCTGTAGGAGCCAATGGAATTTGAGACTCCAAGGGCAACAGGTGTGAATGTAGATGTCGAAATTTGAACCAATGTGCATGCTAAAAATGAATTCAGCTCATCATCAGTGAAGTCGGTGATCCTGAAAGTGTTTAAACAAAGTGAAGTTAAAGGAAACAAAATGTTGAAATGTAGAGTTGTAAGTTTATAGACTTACTCTGTCCCATCAGGGGACATTGAACTATTCAGGTGAACTATAAACTCCACCTTAGAACCCTGAAATTTGAGAAGCAGATGTATTATTTGAGTCGGAAAATACCTCCACGTGGTAGTGATAAGCTAAATCACAAAGTTCTGACAGCATGTCAGATAAAGCCGAACTGTCACACCATGTAACTGAGAAGTAAACCTTCCAGCTTGAACCACAACTAACAATTCGTTCCCAGACCTTTCAGCCATCAAATAAGGGGCAGGCTCAAAAGTAATTGGAAAAAAGCCCAAAACATCACACACTCTAAGAACCAACAAAATAAAAACAAAACAAAGGCAGATTATCCCAAAGTGGCCTCTTGTTCGTTTTTCATGGGGCATTTAAGGTCTATTGATTACCATTGATTGGAACAGTGTTTTGTGAGGTAAAATTACTTTGTTAGAGCAAAGCAACTTTGAGACATCTGCTGTATACTAGGGAATCAGACTACTGTCCTACAGGGGGACTGAAAATCCAACAGACTAAAAGAAGGCACAGGAAAAAGCAAATCTAAAATGCCAAGAATTGCCCTCAACTGTAGTCTCAGAACTCCTCGAAGGACCACCATGTATCCAAATATGTCTCCATTTCACTACGAATAAGATCCCTGACAGTCTCAACCGAAAGTGACCCCCCCTCCCGATTGTTGTGCAATACTAGATATCAAAGGAGGGATAGGAGAGACCCATTTTGCCTCCTTGCCAATAATAATAATAATACATAAGTCTGCTTGACAATTAGAAGAGAGAAAAATTATTATTTGTAAAAAATCTGTGTAATGATTATTACAAAAATCAACACAATAACATTTAAAGTATCTCCGAATGATCATAATACTGGGAAACCCATCAGTGAAATTTTGTTGAGAGAAAGTGATAAAATTATTTGAATGAGGTGCTTATATACAGTACCAGAATAGGGGGTGCATTGATGCAGGTGGAGAGTATCACAAGATAAATATTGCCAAGGGCAATTGACTGGGATATAAAAGACTGTAGCAAGCGAGAAAAAAATCAGACCAATGTTGAGATGAGCAAAGGAAGAAACCCTGGCAGACTACTAATGTGGAGGTATGTATGTTTTGGAAACACTATTACTTTTATCAGTGACAGTAAACCTTTTTCAATACTTTCAATGGGGAAGATCATCGTATATTTTAAAAATAAACAAAAAGGTTACTATATGAGTCATCTTGACATCAGCGAAGAAATGTTCAGATTATTTAAAAAGATTATTTAAACCTTTTGCATCAAAAGGTTTTGAAAAATGTGTAAATAGCAACCACCTATGGAAACACTTAAATGTATATCATGTTAAATAAAGGGTGGTTCAAAATGTCTTTAGAAAAACAAAAAGAAGCTAGCTGGTAATCAAAGATTAATCTCATGAGAATAATTGCTTATTTGAATGCAATTGATTAATGAGCCTAATAATTAACTGATCAGCAATTTCCCTAATCTTCCAGCTCTATTAGCATCAAGTATATAAAAAAAAGTGGACACAGATGATTATATTGGCTACTAACTATAAAAACAAGCATTATTCAATCATCATAACCTTACCATAAATATTTCATGCATTGTTATATTAAGTATAGATATATCTGTATTAAGAGTACTGCTTAAAGAATATAAAATGATATAGTAATTATAGTGTGTCTGTATTAAAATTAAGAATATTGAATATTATATTACTTATAGACATATCAATACTAAAACTAGTTCTTGAAGAAAGAAGAATATTATGGAAGTTACAATAATTCAATGTATACATACTAAGGCAACAGTTCCCTTTATTTAAGAATGTTGTGTGAGATTATACCCTTTATATAAGAATAAGTGCTTATTGCAGTGTGTGTGAAGTAGTATTCATCTATGTTCATATGCATGTTTATCACAGGGTTTGAGATAATTCTCTCTAAGAATGAACACTGTTTACCACACTCTTTATGCAGGAATATAATGTTTATCAGAGAAAGTAAATAGTGTGCATGCTTATCACAGGGCATGAGGTAGTATCCTTTATAGGGGAATATAATGTTTATCACAGGGTGTAAGACAGTATCCTCTATTTAGGTATGCATGTTTATTAGATTGTGAACATTGTTTGTGCAAGTATTTATTCAGAGCATAACAATAGTGTCGTCAATTTAGTGATAGTTTTAGGCTGTACGGCACAAACTGGGCTCAAGCATTTAGTTTCTATATCAGTTTTGTACTAATATAAGAAAATAATAATTCAGATCACTATGTAAAGCTCATAATTATGACCTGCCCAACTGAAAACTGTAGTTTCGAGTATTATAAGATATACACTTAGGTAACCTCTCTATGTCAAAGCATATTTGGATTTACTATTCTGATGTTATCAACTTAACTGGACTGATGAGACCTGACAGTGTCTGAATATGCAGATATGATCTAGTATGTTTCATATTTCCATAATTTAACAATAATTTGTACACAATTTAACTTTCATAGAACCATTTTTCTTGTTATTAAAAATTTAGCTCTATTGTTGAACCAAAACAAGGAAAAGGAAAACTAATAAATCCAACATGGTGAGTATAACCAATTTGAAAGAAGGCAATAAAATCAATTTTTATTTTCAAGAAATAATTGTTTTAGCATATATTAATTATAACCGTATAAATTACCTAGAATATTCAATTGTTTACCTTCATAAACACTTGGAATCTGACTTTCAAAGTAGACTAATGCAGGAAAGTTCTTTACACCAAACTCCCTTGCTATTCGAACGTCTGAGGTTTTAACAAACTGGATGCCATGTCGGTCTGTGTCGTCATCAATATTTTCAAGTTCTACCAGAGTGTCTTCACACTCAGTACAATCAGGCTTGTCTGAATATTAAAATAATTATTTAACAACTAACTTAATGTCAATTAGACAATGCTTATTCTTCCATTTCAATGTTTTCTTAAAATATTGTAATCTTAAAAAAACAACAGATTAGTTTATGATAGACTTATGAAACAATGAACATACTTTTTATTTTTGTCAAACATAACTTTTATGACTGTTTAATGTTTTTGAATATATTAATTATATCATCAGCACAATTATTTCAAAACAAAAAATTAATTAACACATTTTGAGTTCTAGTACATCATCACTTTTAGCTAAAAAATACATTATTAAAAAATAAGAAAAGATAATGCAATTTGAACTGTAATACTATGATACAGTGTTACATAATGTAACAAATTTATTATATATTTATTTTAATATCAACGTTTGTTCAATTACATTTATATTTAGAAACATACACAGCTTATACTGTTAAATATGTATTGCTAAACTCCTGCCTATTCTCCAAAGTTGTAGAAGATTTTCAAGAGTAAGAATCAACAATATATGTGTGTACATAAACGCTAGTGTTAGTGCCAGTATTGTTATGTAAAGCTGAAAATTCTAGAAAGCCTCCACACAGCTATAAATATAACCAATGCAATGCATGAGAAAAGAATATCTATTATTAGTTCGCTATAGTCAGTGTGCTATAAACTTCAAAAGCTATAACTGTGATTGTTGTAATGCTTATCAATAGGAAAACTTAATATAATTGACCTGGAGCATTTACAAAGTTCGAACATTACAAGCCATTTAAATTCAGTGGATTCTCATTGGACATTAGTATTTTTACGAAAACATTATATAAATTCATTGTGGAAAACTCAGTGTGTGTGGCAGGTAAATAACGAAGGACAAAGCTAGCTAGCATCCCATTAAGCGAATTATACCTACATCAACTCGTAACAACTCACTCATCGTGAACCCTCGATGACATATTGAAGAAGTTCCAGACAAAAAAGAAGACTTTATATTGTTTGTAAGTTTGTGAAACTTTCGGTTATAAATCATTCTTTATAATAGCTATTTGTAATAAATGTTATTGTAAATTGTATTGTTGTGTGTATATTAAAACGTATTTGTGTTAAAAAAGAAAACTGTGTGTATCACTCGTTGGCAAATATCATAAACTGACTATATATCGGCTTTTACTTAACTACTAAATCCAAAGTACAATTTAACTACTAAATTTAAATTTATCAGGCTATTTGAAATTCTAATATGTAACAGTAACATGTGGCCATTTATTCGAAGATGAGGAATCCACTTTGAGACTAATAATGCTTGGAAATGGCTTGAATGGGTAATGAAGAAAAACTTTAATATAAGTTTAACATAACAGCAAATATACAATGTTTCGAACTGATGATGACAAAACCTTGTTGAAACGTTGTACATTTGCTGTTATGTTAAACTGATATTAAAGTTTTTCTTCATTATCCATTCAAGCTGTCTCCAAACATTATAAATTATGTGATTGCTTGGGAAGTTCCCTTCAAAGTGTGGTTGTCTTCCAGAGCATGGAGAGAACACAGCGCGTGGTATATTTACAAAAAGGTGAGTAATGAACATAAAATGTCAGTGAGGTATTTATTGAGAGTTATATTTTTGTGTTACTCTCACCTAATCAGAGTTTGTTTCCAATACCAAAGTCGACTCCAGAAGCGGTGGAAATACAGTGACAAAAATAATGGATTACCGACAGGTGAGGATGCAAGTACGAACGTTTAGTGCTTAGTTAAATGGCTCGTTAGTCAATTCTGTTCCTAGTGGTGTTCTTAAACGATTTAGTTTGATGATGAAATAATTTATAAGATTTTATCGCAGCCTTGAAATCAGTTTTTATTTTCCAGTGTTAGAAATCCATAAAGAAGAGGTCATGCTGTATTAATAATCTACTGAACACGAACATGTTTAGATATATCTGACAAGGACATGTGATAACATAAACTGTCAGATTCTTCTCGTGTATGATTTTCAGCTATATCACGTTCCTGACAAAAATGGGGATTTAAATATTATTGAGATCACGACTTTGTATCTAGAGTTATTTGATGTGATGTAAGTATTATATATATATATATATAATAAATACATGTAGTG